TACACGGTGTCTTATATAGATCTGCCCTGCTGTCGGGGTCTTATTATTTTTTTAATGGGGTCTTACACGGTGAAATTTTGTTACGTACAAGTGGTTCAACGCAAAGCGTCGGTGTCGGACGACCCCAGCCAGTACAAGTAGCTTCGCCCCTGATTGCCTGTCCGACCCCACATACGTACACACCAGGGCTTGGAGTTGTTCCTCAGGAACCGGACAGTGGCAAAGGTGATCAGCGGGTCTCGAAGAGGCAACCATCTGTCCCACCAAAATCGCACGCTCCGACCATTACCCAAAGTCCGCCGGCTACCCGCCACCATCTCCGGCCAGGCATCCCGAATAGCACGCAACACGGTCGACCCGCTGGGGAACTCGTATTCCTCTCCCGTCGCCCAAGGTTGTAAATTGTATTTCTCCCGCAGCACACGACACCACAACAAATTCGGATTGGAAAAGAAAGTCCACGCCAGCTTCATCAACAAAGCCTTGTTCATCAAGCGTTGTTCGCGCATCCCCAATCCACCAGCTGATTTAGGACGACAAACATCAGACCAGGACACGAGACTAATCTTCCGGGTAGTTGCCGTGCCACCCCATATAAAATTTCGACACTTTCTTTCCAGACTATCACACACTCCATGGGGTAATGAAACAGTTTGCATTGAAAAGTAAGGAAGAGAAGCAAGCACCGACTAAGCAAGAGTAACCCGGCCCGCTAACGAAAGCGTTGAGGCCTTCCAGCCAGCTAGTCTTTTATCCGCCTTCTCAACAAGCTCCACATACGTGTTCTTCGTCACCCGACTGTGTATAAGCGTCATCCCCAAATACTTGCCCAAGTAATCGACCACCTGGAACCCTAGCCGATGGGCCAGATCAAGGCGAGTTGGGCCCCCACATTGGGAGAGAAAAATACTTGAGTCTTAGGCTCACTCACCTTCAGCCCGGAAGCCCCACACTTAATATTTACAATCATGTGTAACTTACAACTATATTTTATAAAATATTTTAATTAGTAAGGTCAAATACAAAAATTATTAAACATATTATATACTCTAATATTGTATTACATTTTCTTGAATATTATATATTTATTTTATAATTATTTTACATTTCATGTCAGAAAAATAAAAATTTATTTTTATTATAGTTAAAAGTTTGATTAATTTTTTTCAAAAATCTCGTACATTTTTTAAAGAATCATTATAACTGTAATCACCAATGTTGTACTATTGACGGTTATTATAATGGAAAAATAAAAATAGAATCAATAACTATTGTATATCATAAAAATAAAACAAATGATAAAAAATTAAATCAATGTTCAAAATTATTTTTATACTAATCAAATATTCATTATTTAACTAAATTCATTCGATTTATTATTATTGTCATTGTCACGTACCACGTAGTTCAAACAGAACAAAATAACACACCGTCACTTGTAAAATAAGATAATCTCCCATCTCAGAGTACACTACAAGTCTACAATATTAGTACAACACACCAAGTTTCATTCAACACAATTATTCTGCACCAAACATATCATGACTAGGTCCACCTTGCAAAGCCAAAGAAAAAGAAAAATAGAAATTATGAAATAGATTTTCACGAAACAAATGGGCCCACACCACAGCCTCATCCGCACACGTCAGCGGACGATGATGTCCGAGTGGGAACCTGCACGCCCTCGAGGCCCAAAACAGCATCCTCCCTGCAAAGCCCGCCACCAATTTCCCGTTCATTGGCCGCAGCCATTTTCAGGCGGTACCTCTCTGCCCGTGACCCAATTACCTGTCCCAAAACCGAAGCTGCAATCGTAAAAGCCATAGCTGTCTTAGGCATAAGGACCGATTTCCTAAGCATGGCTATGAAGGGCACAGCTGCATGGACTGCAGCAAACCATGATAGGGAAAATTTTTCGGTGTGCTCCCTCCAAATGCCCAAAGGTATGTTTGCCGCCATACCTAAAACGCCAATTACGAGTATTTTTGCAGGTAGGGGCTGAGGCCGGAGGTTCTTGGCGAATGCAGTCTTAGCGAGGGCAGCCCGGGCAGCAACCACCGCAGGAGGGCACCTGAACTTCATGCCGGGAGGGGGCTGGAGGGCTTTTGCAACGAGAGGGAGGACTTTTCCAACGGCCCGATAGGATTTAGCAATGGGGCAGTTGCCGTTTTGCAGCCACTGGTCGCTCATTGCTTCGTGTTGGGATTTCCCTCCCTGTGAATACAAAGGGAAGTGTAAGAGATGATTCGGGTTGGTTATGAGAAGTATCCCAGAGGTCTGATATTACAATTAACTCGTCAATTTTAATGATGAACTTTACTAATTTTGGAAATTACCTTCGTTCTTTCTTTTTCCTTTTTTGTAATTTCATCAAACCTCAAGGGATACATTTTGCAGTTATCCTATAGAATATGAATATCGAGCTAATACTTTTTTTTTTTTTTTTCTAGGAATTACAAACTCAAGTGGAGGGAATTGTGATGAAGTATAAACCTCAGAGGGGGTCTGTAGTATAGCAGTTGAGATTTTGCAGTAGTAAAAGAGAAGGAAAGATCGTTGTGTAAATAAGAAAAGGTCAGCTAGCTGGTCATGTAAAAAATTGTTTTGTTGCATTTGTTTCAGACATTAGCCTTTCAAGTATAGCAGCATCAAGAATGTGTGACGACCATGATTCCATAACCCAAAGAAAAAAAAAAGAAAAAGGAAAAAGGAAAGAAAATAAACCTCTAAAGCTATTTCAGAATCTAAAAAAAAAAACCTAACTAGTGAAGTCCAGTCATTGATTTCATGACAAAATTTGATTACTAGGAGTCTAAATGTAAGATGTGCCCAATGTGCTGAAGAGGAAAGCCGAAAACAAAATTTGTCAACAGTTACCTTTGAAGAAGATTCGCTTCTGGAGGAATTTGAGCTCTTGTTTTTCTTCCATTTTCCAAGGAAACTATCAAACCCGAAAGGCCCACTGGGGCCAAAACCAGACAGGCTAATGCTGGCTGCTTTTGCCGCCAGCGGATTGAATTGAGCCGGTGGTGGTTCAGGCAAAGACATTTCGTTGTGAATAGACTTTCCAGAAAGTGGGACCACACCATTTTGACCATGGAAGAGCTTGAATGCTGCATCGAAATTGGGACCATCCTCAAATATAGGGCCTTTCCCGTTCTGTACCTAATAGGAGCAAATAGGCATTCAGATTTTAAACATTAGCATTTAGGTAAAGTTTAAAAACAAATCCAATTATCTTCCAAATTTACAAATGTCCCACTTGAAGTTTGTATTACCTTCTTAAATCCCCCTTAGTTGCAAAATAGAAACAAATATCATGGGGCATTTCTAATTCTGAAAGGTAACTTGCCTAATATTTTCGCTCATTTTTTCATTTTTATTTTTCAATAATGGATAACTTAAATACACAATAACGCTATAGTTCATGAGCATAAACAGAGAGAGGAAAAGAGGAGGTGCGGAAACCTACAGGCATGGGGACAGCCATTGATGTTAAGAATGAAAAGTTAGTTGGTTGATTGATATTCCTCAAAAATGGGCACCTAACGATATCCTGGTTAATTTGAGAAGATCCTCCATTGATATTTCCGAACATAAAATCCATTTTAGGAAGCGTGAAAATATGTTTCCTGCACAAGAATGGATGGAATTTAGAATCATGTCTGTAAGGTTTAAACACACAACACGTTAAAGTCCATTCCATGCACACCTCTAAAAATATGCAACATCATTTCGAGAACGAACCAAAAAAAAAAATCGTAAAAACATCCTGCATCACTTGATGATATACGACTGAAGGATCATTCAAATACTCCAAGGATTGAGATTCAGAAAATCACATAAAAACCTAATCACAGTTGCTCAACCAAATCTAAAAATGAAGACCTTCATAGTTCACAGTTATATAAATATTATGACCTACAAAAGTTATCATCAAGTTTTGAAAGATTTCAAATTAAGGGATATCGAAAACCAAACAAAACCCCCCACCGACATGATCAAAATCACATCTTTCTTCTACCAAATGCAAATAAACAAGTTCTTTAAAAAACATTTCTAGCTAGAATCAGAATCCCCCCATCAGCTGATCCAAAATCATAGCATCAAATCTGGGCAGACCCCCAAAATTCAATCCAAAAATCCTACAGTTTTTTTCATTTTACAGCTTACATCTCATTTTCCATACAAGTCAAACCAACCCACCTATCATATCAATTACAAGGAAACAGCACAAGGCAACCTACTTCACAAAGCAAAGCATCACAGGTAAAATGGTATGTACAAAGAAACAGGGTTGAAAAAATTAAAATCATACACAATTCAAGATAAAATTCAGACCATTCGCTAAACTAACAACACACCAAACCAATGTTTATTAATCACAGCTGACCAACTATTAGGATCATATCAATCATCGCAACAAACAAATCAAATCGCAAATGTACCCGTAAATTCACAGATTCCAAGAGAAAACAAAGATCAATACCTTGAACTAGCTGTAACAACTCAGTGCCGAGGAGAGAGTGAACGATGAAGAAGCCTGAGCAAAATGGCTGCCTCTTTAGAGAGAGGGAAAAATTGGAGCAGGTAAAGACGACAGAGCCGATGAAGGAATTGACGAATTGTACAGAAGTTTGGTGTGTATTTGACAAAGCAGAGGGTACAAAACGACGACGTTTAGGGCAACTACTCCGCTCGGCAATTGCTAGGGCGCGTGGACGCCGAACGTCTGTGATTTATCGCTTTTTTTAAGAAGTTATTATTATGACGCGTTAAATAAAATAATCAGGTCAACATTTGGCAGCAGCAGCAGCCCATATATATTTATCTATAATACAAGTTATCTATAGTAATTTAATAAAAATGTTGCATTAAATTTAATTATGCAAAAGTACATAAAATATATCTAACTAAAATATTAAAAGCGCCTAATGTTTATATAATATATGGAGAAACAGCTAAAATATTTTAGTTAAGTTTTGTTATAACTAATTAGATGGTATTAGATTGTTTATAAGAAAAAAAAAATGTTTTTAGTCGAAAATAATGTTGAAAATTAAAATTAATATTATAGAGATAATTATATAGATAGATTTTCACAACAATTCTTTTTTTTTTTTCTTTTTTCTTTTTTGCATGGGATATTAAGGATATATTACGTAATTGATTCAATATATTTCAGAGTAAAAATAGATTAGATACCTTTTAATAATGAGATAATAATTTTATGCTAATTTTTAACCAACCGCATCATAAGGAAAGAAATATAATCTATGTTTATTTTTATACAGTATTCATATGTTAAAAACTTAAACCAACCGGCTTTGGAGCTGCTTTTGTGGTCTTTGGGCCTTTGTTTGCTCACTTGAGCGGAGATTAATATGGTACAACAAGTCTCATTCGGTGTATCACCATGAAATGTTTCATTTGAAAACTCGAATAGTTTGGTCATGATTGGCGTTTCACTTTGTGTGTAAGATTTTTGTAAGTTTCAAACGGCTTAGACTCGCTCTGCGTTTCACCACGAGATGTTTTGTTTGAGAACTCGAACGGTTTGACCGTTACTGGCGTTTCACTGTGAGTGTAATAATTTTGTAGATCTCGAATGGTTTTGCCTTATTTGGCGTTTCATGGTGAGATGTTTTGGTTGGGCGAAGTCGCGAAAACGAGTCTAAAGGCCAAAGAGTCATCTTTGAAGCCACGAATTATGTGGCCCTATAGTTTCAGTCTTGGTATTCTCTTTGCATCGGAATGGCTTCTGTCTTCCATTACAGCTTAAAACGGAGGCTAAAACAAAGGGCTAGCTTGATGTAGAGGATGTATACGAAAGGGAAAAACACAAGCTCAAGAGAGAACAGATATTTTTATTTTCACGATAATCAGTTTTCTGCTTTTTGTTCCCAGTACATAAATAAGGAGTTTCCACTAACTCCACTTCCTAAAAATATGATAACTCTTAATAATTAAATAAACACCCCTTAACTAATAAAAATAACATAACTGCAACTACTAATAGAAATAATCCAAAAGGGAAATAAAGCAATAAAATAAATGTGCTAGACACGCAAACGATCATATTTCTGCAAAAACATCAACGCGGCCTCGTCTCCATCATTCTCCCCGGGTTGGGAAGGATTCGCCCTCGAATCCGAACGGGCCTCGTCGTCATCGGAATTGTCACCTGCGTACGGCACCAAATGCTTGACGTTAAAAACGTCAGAGGTGCGAAGATGAGACGACAAACGAAGACGGTAGGCATTGGGATTGATCTTCTCAACCACCTCAACTGGACCAATCTTCCGAGCAGATAACTTATTATACTCGTGGGCCGTAAACCGGTCCTTCGTCAAAACAGCCCAAACATAGTCACTTACCTCGAACTCTACGTGTCGCCGTCGAGCGTCCGCCTGACGCTTATAGATCGCTGTGGTGGCCTCCAGTCGAGCCCGTGTTTGCACGTGTGTGGCCTGCAAATTGGCGATCAAGTCAGTCGCCCGACGATCAACCGAATTCGATGGCAGGATCAACAAATCGGACGGCCCTCGGGGGCGAACTACATAAACGACCTCAAAGGGGGACTAGCCAGTGGCACGACTCACGGCCGAGTTGTGTGCAAACTCGGCCTGGCTCAACCGTTGATCCCAACTACGAAGATTGTCGCCCACCAAACAACGAAGTAAGTTGCCAAGTGAGCGATTCACCACCTCTGTCTGCCCATCCGTCTGTGGATGATACGCACTGCTGAAATCCAAGCTAGTATTCGTCATGCGCCATAGGCTGCGCCAGAAATGACTCAAAAATCGAGTGTCACGGTCGGATACAATCGAAGACAGAAGGCCATACAGACGGTAAACCTCTCGAAAGAACAGCTGAGCCACTTGAACCGCATCGGTGGTGCGCTTGCAAGGGATAAAATACACCATCTTCGAGAATCAATCAACTACCACAAAGATGGAGTTAGAGCCTCGCTGTGTACGAGGCAAGCCCAACACGAAATCCATACTAACCAGACACACAAGGGTTGCGAAGGAATAGGCAAAGGGCGGTATAGTCCTGCATTCGAAGCAACTCCCTTGGCAACATGACAAACGCGACATCGCTCCACATAGCGTGCCACATCACGTCGGAGGGTCGGCCAAAAATAGGATCGACAAACCAACTCCACCGAACGGTCACGGCCCACATGACCGGCACCATGGAGGTTGTTGTGTACAAATTATTATTTTTACCGAGTATCGAATCTGACAAATCGGTCTCCGGGTCGATCTCTCGAGGAAGGCGGTTCGGAATTTAGCAATGGTGTTGATAACACAAGAAGAGAAAATAAATCTAAACACTCTAAATCAAATGATGGAGATAATAATTAACTAAGGGAAAGCCTGAAAATAAATCTACCTAAAATGAAAATTGAAAAGCAATAAAGAAGCTATGAAGTCGGGGATATCTGTTTTGGTTCAAAGAGCAAGTGTCGAGAAAGAGATCATTCTGTTAAAAGGAATCGGTAACTTATACGTTCAGAGATTCGTCCTCAATAACTTTTCGTAACAAGAGGTTGAACATGAACGATAAATCAACGAGCCTTTTAACACATTGGAAATACAGTTACGAACAAGCCAATTTCATATGAGCCATAGTCTATCGACTCCTTCTCTTTCGATTCAATGAGTCAATTAATTAGCCTAGGTGGTTTTTAATCAATCTAAACAAAGGGATCAACACGAATATGCAAGAATGAATCAAACCCCAATCAACAAGTAACTGAAAATTGAAGTGTCACTCCTTCAATAATTTTCATCATTCAGACACAATCTTATCAAACCCTAATCAGGACAACTCACATGAATTGAATAATTAACAAGCTCAACAATCACAATTGAATTCAGAACATCAATCCCCTATCCCTAACAATGAGATTTAGCTACGTAAAAGGAATTCAACACACATAATTATTTCTCCAAAAACAACCATTTTTCATGAATTGAAATAGAAGAAATTCTTACAATAAACCTCAGTCAAGAGTTGAATCCTTATCACAAGCTTGATCCCAATAATGGAAAAGAAAGAAAAAATGGAGAAGAAAGATGGAGAAGAGGAGAAGAGAAGAAGAAGAAGGGAAAGTGAAGGGGGGAGGCGATTTTCGGACCTAGGGTTCCTCCCCCTTCAAGCTGGAAGTGAAAGAATGGAGAAGAAAACGAGTTTTTGGGGTTTTTATACTATTTTGGGACCTGCAGGGGGCCCTAGCGCCGCTAAGGGGGGTTAGCGGCGCTACGGGATGAAAGCTGCGAGTCTCTGGGGTCGCTAACATGGTCTAGCGCCGCTAGATAAGTGAGCCTTAGTGCCGCTAAGGTGCCTTAGCGCCGCTAAGGTGTCTGGGCAGCGCGACTTTGCGTTTTTGGCTCGTTTGGGTTCGTTCGAACTCGGAATTGAGCTCCGTTTTTTTTCCTACGCGTCGCTAACGAACCCCTCTATTCAATGAAGCTTGAATGG